AAAAAAAAAAAAAAAGCGCTCAACTCCTCCACGGTCGTGCTTTACCGCGGGGAAACCCATTGATTTCCCCTCCCCCCACCCCCCATTCACCACCGTGCGATAATTAAATGCATTTTATACAGTTCTTCGTGTGGTCGAGGTATATAACGGCGAGTAATTAATAGACATTTAAAATTTTTAATAACGCCGCTTTTATGCGCGCCGTACTGAGCGTCCCCCGAGTAATTATAGCCGGTGAATGGATCTGTTGCATTTGACTTTTAATGCCCGCCGGATCAAGCGGTTACACCACGCCTCGCCGCCACTTATCAAACCCCCCTCCGCCGCCTTCCTCTCCCCCCTCCCCTCCCCTCCCTCCTCGTGCTAATGACGAGGAGAAAATTTTCGTAACGCACAACACGTTTTTTTCACAGCCGTGTAACTCGTTTCCTCTTCCTTTTTTTTCGAAGGAAGGAAAGGAAAACGTTGGCCGAGAAAAGCGATGCAACCCCCTCCCTCTTACGAGCGATTCGAATTTTTTGTCACCCCCATCCTTTTTTGTCACAGGTCGCGTATATCGCGGGCGAAGATTCGAAATTTCTCGGGTGAGGGCAGGCAAGCTTGACGATAAGGATTAATTGGAAGCGAGTTGACGATATTTCACGTGTTCGCACAGGTGAAAACGGATCCCGGCTCCGGAGCGGAGAGAGAGAGAGAAAGGGAGAGAGACTTTACATAAAGTCTTCATTCGGCCGGCGCGATAAATCAGAGCTTCTTTTCCGGATGAGAAAGAAGAGGAGGAGGAAGAAGAAGAAGAAGAGGAGAAGGAGGAGGAGGAGGAAGAGGAGAAAGAGGAGAAGGAAGAAAAAAAGAGCTGTTGACTCCGCGTCATTAAAATTAATGATCGCGTGATCGCTAAACGCGTTTGCGCTCCATCTCTCACATTCTCAAATCCGGTCAAACCGTGGAGCGATAAATCACGAAACACCTGTTCCATAGGGACACCTCTCACCATAAGAGTTACACATTCAATTAAGTTCTTATGCTGAATCGAAGGAAGATTCAATTTAAAACGCCTTCGATTATATTATTACTGCCACTGCTATTATACACCAAATTTCACGTTTCCTCGGAGACTTCCATTCGCGCTTCCATTTCTTATCTTATCTCTAACTCGTTTCATCGACTCGGTCGACGGTTCAACTTAAAGCAAAAAAACGAAATCGAGCTGGCTGGCTAACGATAATAGTTCCACGATCCTGGTTAAAAAAAAAAAAAAAAAAAAAAAAGAAACGACCAACGGGCTGACCATATAGGCCTTCGTCTATACCTGTCGAAACGTTCCTGCCGATCAAATTACCGATGCCCGCGCGCGCGCGCGCGCGTGTATACATGTGTCTTGCTGAAGATATTCTTCGTATCGAGAAAGTGTCTCGGCTCGGCCTATAAATTTGGCCAATTTAATTGGCCGTGGATTTATTATTATGTAGGCAAACGGAACTCGTTATAAATTTCTCGTGACAACCGGAGTATGGGATCGTGATGTCCGATGCTAATGCGCGATTAATTATAATAACTGTGCGATTCTGTGGGAAACACGATTCCCCGGGAATTCGGACGAAAACGTCTCTACTCCTCTCGTGGGCTTCTGGCTAATTTTTGCCAAAGTAAAAGAAAAAAAGGAAAGAGAAGAAAGAGAGAGGGGATAAACACAGCGAAGATGTTCGAAGATGATCGGAGCACGAATTACTCGGTAATAAGAGAAAGGGAAGGACCCTCTCTTTCTCTCTCTCTCTCTGAGGAAGCGTTATTAAGCAAAATATTGAATTACGACGAAGAGAGAGCAACGTGGAAAAGATACCGTGCGATATAAGAACGATACAGGGAGGGGTGGGACGATATCGAGTGGGTCCTCTGTCTTGATATAGACCACCATGAGCGAGCTGGGCCCGACCAGTAGGCCTTAAATCGTCCTCGCACCGGGAGGGCAACCGGTACCCCTCGGTACCACCTAAAATATTCTCCGCCTAAGGTATACCGATCGAACGTGTCCACCATCACCTCTCTCTCTCTCTCTCCTCTCCTTACCCCACAAAATCGACGTACCCCGCCCTTAAATCATTCGAGAGTGGGGCTAGGTGTGGTGAGCGCGACATTGCCCGCCACTGTGGTGCCACTTCCGGGAATCGCTCCAACCACCCGAAGTGAAATACCTTTTTCTTCTTCTTCTTCTTCTTCTTCTTCGTCTACCTTCGAACGTATCCGAGACGAGAAAAATTCTGATCGCCTTTTTTCTTTATCTCCTGTTCTTTTTTTTTTTCTTTTCTTTTCACTCGGAGAGGAGAGATCGATCGATAATCGAGAGCGATCCTCCTTCCTCGTTTTCTTTTTTCGATTTTAGGGGAACGACACGCTCGCTCCCCTTTCCTTTCTTTCTTTCCTTCCTTCTTTCTTTTTCCCCCTCTCCCCGAATTTCTTCTTCCCCCCTCCCCTCCCCCTCGAGGTTTCACGCGAGCCCAAGGTTGACAAATAAGCCCACCAATGGAGGCGCGGAACGGGCCGAGCGAACAAATAGCTTCGCGGCCTGGTGTCAGAATCAAGATTATGACAGCGAGTCGGGTATAAATTTGAAATTTAAGAGAATTTCTACCTTTGGCGGGGCGCTCGGCTGACCGCCCCCTGCCCCCCCCCCCTCCTCCCCGCCTGGCCAAACTCCACCACGGTACCAACCACCGGTAAATCACGGTGATATGCGGGTTCGCCCAAAATTCCCGGCTAATCTCGAAATCAAACAGCCAGGAAGGACATAAAAATGCTTTATCGCCGGAGGCTTGAAATACACCTAAGCCGCACACCACCCCTCCCCCCTCACGATCGCCTTGTTCGCCCGGGATGGGACACCGAACCCAGTCGTGGTAAGCACCACGCTATTTTCTTTACGAAAGATGGATGAGATTTCGTTTCGCCGCGTTCGAGTTACTCGAAGGAGAGGGGAGAGGTTCGGATTCGAGAAGGTTTCGTGCATTCCGTCGTTCCTCCCTTTCACGATTCCCCTCTCTCTCTCTCTCTCTCTCTCTCTCTCCTCGTTCATCGATCGATTTATCGAGATCTTATTCTTCGATAAACAAGAGCAAGAACGTTTTCGACGATATCGAGAGAGAGAGAAAAATAAAATTCGTATCGTGTTTCTCTTAGTCTCGAGAGAGATTATTATTAATCGAGTATTTTTAGTTTTTTTTTTTTTTTTTTTTTTTGCTCCTTCAAATATTTACGTTATCGCGCAAAAATTTGACTTCCCTCGACATCCGACCTCGATAAATACTCGATAAATGAAAGTTGAAATTTGGAACGTCAATTTTGCCAGGTGTGGGGTTCGAACCCACGCTCCCAATCGGGAACCAGAACTTAAGTCTGGCGCCTTAGACCGCTCGGCCAACCTGGCTTGCGAGCATCCACCATCCTAAATTCAATAGGAAATGCGTCCGATCCGAACCAGAGTCTTACCATCGTTTTCGTCTCCATCCACGTTTCATTGGAGTAATTTTTTTTCGACTAATTTTGTTCGAACGTATTAAAAAAAAAGAGAGAGAAAATAAAAGAGAGAGAGAGAGAGAGAGAGAGAGAGAGAGAGAGAGAGAGAGAGAAGCGATATATTCGGTGCACGGTGATTGTGCGTTTTACGTCGTGTTCGGCTGCGACGATAAGATCTCGGTATCACGGTTCCACCGATTACGCGAATATCAATGACTTCTGGGAACGAACCGGATGGATTCGAGCCAAGTATGCAAACAAGAAGAAATAATTGCAATCGGATATTCGGAGGCCGAGAGGAGGCCCCCCGAAGGTGTATCGTATCGGCGGACGGTGGTTATTGACGACCGGGCAAAGCAGTGGCGATACATTGGCGGACGAGCATAAATTTCGCCCCCCAAACTGACCGTTGCGTTTTTCGATGCGTCTTAAATTGCCTGGCAACCGTATTCTCGCGGCAATCCCGAGAGAGAGAGAGAGAGAGAGAGAGAGAGAGAGAGAGAGAGAGAGAGAGAGAGAGAGAGAGAGAGAG